GTCTTGGATATGAATTTTAGTTGCTTTTGACCAACTCTGCTGTGAAATCTTGGGAAAGATGTTTGTTTGCCCCGCCGGTGCCCAGGAAGGCAGCTGCTTTTGGTGGTATTTGGGAGGGTGGGCGTGCAGAGCTGCTCTTGGTGGGTCTGTGCTTTGCAGGACCTTCTGGTTGCAGATGGGAGGTGAGGACGTGCTGCTTGCAGGAGTGGAGGGTAAGGGTGGGTTTTTTTGTTCTCCTTCTACAAAAAAAAAAATCTAGGCTGTTCAAATCATTTGCCTTTTCCCTTGTGCTGACAATTTAACAACCTTTTTAAAAGCTTTGGTTTCTCTCAAGTACGCTCGCCCCATACGTGTTTTAATTTTTGTGCAGAGGCCTAGAGCTTAACAATTATTTTGCTTAAGCTCTCTGAGACTTGCCATAAAACATTTTTTCTTTTTTTTTTTTTTTTTAAAAAAACACACACATGCTAATGATCCCCATCAGATCATATTGTTAAACAGGGAATAAAATACTTATGGCAAGATGACATTATTTTAAAGAATGTTAAAAGCAAGCCAGCAGAGCCCATTTCAACAGTTTTGCTCCGAAATAATTTGTGCAGATTTGTTAGAGTTAATTTGTTGAAAAGTGCAATGTTTGTACAGGCAAGTCCTAATTTCCACACTGAGACACAGAAGCAGGAGAGGAGCGAGTGTGTGTCCAGCCTTTGCAGGAGCAGGATGGTGGGAACTTCCCTCCCTCCTACCCTTCCCCCCTGGTGCAGGAATGTAAAAGCAGTGTCAGAAGGCTGGGAAAGTCGGCTTCGGATTTTTGTGGACTCCTTGCAAATCAGAGGAACTGTCTGGCTCAAATCTGCATTTAGGGCTGAGAGAAGAGGATTTCCTGCTATTTAGTTGCTTGAGGAAGGAAAGGATTTACCTCTCCGCTGTAACAGGACTTAATTTTTCTCCTCTTTAATAAGAATATCGCAGCGTAGGGCAGCAGTAGTAAACCTGCGAAAGCAATCACGCCTCTCCCCCCTCTTCCTTCGCCCTCCCCATGCCGTGATGTGACTCCCCCCCTGCCCAAGCATCCTCCCCTCCCAGCTCCCCGCCCTGGCGATGGCTTGGCATCTCTGTTGTGAAAGAGAGAGTTGTGGAGGGGGCGGCTGCTGCGACGTCGCTCCTTCGGACGGCTGCCTCGCTCGGCCCGCCATCTGGATCCAGTTAGCTCTCTCGGCAGTAGGGCTGAGTCTCATTTCCTCCAACCAGTAATGTTATATAGGCAGTGATCCTGTTCTGCCCTAACATAATTGAAAATTATGTGTATTGTAGACTCGCTGCGCTGAAATGTAGACTCGTAAAAATCTGTGGCTCAGGTAGCCTGTGGAGATTGAATTTGGCACACAATGAAGCTTTTATGTAAAGTAAGAATTATAAGCCACCACATCAATATTGTGTTACAGGCATGACAATTCTTGGATGAGGAGGCCTTGAGTCAGGCTCGTCACCTTAAACAATGCTAATATTTCATACTTTATCAACGGGGCTCACGTTCTGAAGCCAGCAAATTGGACTTTTTTTCTTTTGCAAACATCCCGCCATTGAAGCTGTGGGTTCGTTAGCTTGACGCAGGCATTGGCTGCGGGCTCTGGCCCTCTCTGTTTATCTGATGGACAGAACATCTCGCCCTTGGCGGGGCCGGGATGCTGCTCTGGATCCTGGCCACTTGGTAGAGCTTGTGGAAGTTGCTTTATTGACCCTTGCGCGTCACTGCTTTCCATGGGGACTGTTTATTTTATTTTATTTTTCCCGCCACTGGTGTATTACCCACTGGTGAAAATGGAAGCGGTCCATGTGTGTGCTTGTGTCCAAAACTGAGCCCTCTGGGTTTGGACCATTCCTGCTGGGCTCCCAGTGCATGTCCAAGAGGAGAAGCAGCTTTGGCTGTGTTTTAGCCTAAGACTTCTTGGATGCTCTTTGGCAGGGGTGGGTAAGAGAAGGACTTTACTGAGAGCCCAAACTAAGGGTTTTAAAAGCAGAAAAGCAAAGCAGCAGTAAGATCTTCTGAAACTTCCATCTTGCACTTAGGCTGGTCAGCCTGGTGTGGGAGCACCCATGCTGAAAGTGTGGGCTCTTGTGAGATCGAGGTGGAGCAGGAGCAGCCATACCTTCTTGCTCTGTTTCTTCTAAGGGAATTTATTGCTAATAAAAACCAGCAGAACTGACAGTCCTGAAGGCTTCGTAATCCCTGCAATAATTACTGACTGGACGGGGTCTGATGTGAGCTTGCTCATGCTGCTGTGTCAGTGCCTCTCAGTCTGCCCTTGGGGCAGTCTCAGAGAAGCCCATGCATTTCTTGGCCTGTCTTAGGACAGCCGCTGACCTGAGCTCCTTCATGGGTTGTCATGGTTGTAGGAATATTCCAGGGTTGCTCATGACCATGGAGTGGTCATGGAAAAATGAGGGTGTCTGGTTTATTTTGGTGGGTAATGGCTTAGTGGCTGTTTCCTGACACGCCACCAGTTGAGCTGGCAGGTTCTTGTAAGCACTTTAGCTGTGGTAGTGGTAACTTCTCAGTCTCTGAAATGGTTGTGGAGTTTGAAACAGTCGTGTACCGTGAGGCACACGTCCTGTGAGGACGTTTTCCTTGGAAGAAGGGAAAAATACTTCACTAGCTGGCTGAAAAACCTGGGGAAGCTGGTAGTAGCTGCGACCCATCAGGAACCTTTCTGCAAATTCATGTGCCCCTTTATGTGGCGGTGTTACAGACACAGTTGTCTAAGACAACTGATGGGCTTCTAAAGCTGTAGCAGTTGACTTGTTTAATAGTGCCATCCACAAATCTGAAATGTATCAAATTTCCCCTGAAGTTAAGCAGCTCTCAGTTGGCTTGGGTTTTGGGTTCATTTTCTGTGCACTTGGGTTGCATTTTTAAGCACTTTTTTGAAACCACAAAGGGTTAGAAAGTTACTTTAACATCATCTCAACTTTAAAATTTATGTTGTGGTCACCTATATTGAAGAGCAGGGATTTGATACAAGTGATCAAATATCTGGAGGCTTACAATTGAGTCGTAAGAGTTAGAAATGCTGCTTACGGTAGGCTAGTTCTGGTTTGTTTGGGTTTTATTTCTTATTTTTAAGAAGTGCTGAAACATTCTGGTCCACATTGCACAAATCCCAAATGTGAAGATGAATAAAAACAAGACTTCTTGGAACTTGAGGAACTCGTATGGGGCACAAATCCAGAGTATGGGTTTGTTTATTTGCATTCCAGTAGCTCAGAAATCTCAGGCCCTCCAAGCGATGGGAATCGGTAATGCATCCTCCTGCTGACTCCTGCTTCTGGTCACCTCGATGCCCAGGGTCTTGCAGCAAACAGGCCTTGCATGCTAGCAAATGTTTTGCATACGTAGGCAAATGTGATAGTGATGTGCTGAAAGCATGGAACCAGATCTCCTTCCTTCCTTCGTGGAGATTTAGATATGGCTTCCGTTGTTCGCCTGGGGTGGAGGGGGTTGTTTGTGTGTGGTTCTCCTTCAAGATTACTCAAAAAAAAAAAAAAAAAAAAAAAAGAAAAAAAAAAAAAAAAAAAGAAGGGATGGGTAAAAAGAAGGGATGGGTAAACATAATTATTTCTCTAGATATTTTCTAGGAATAGACCTGTTAGGTCAACCAGAGTCTAGGGCTAAATAGGATCTTCTGCAGTGGCCTGATCTATGCATACAGCTGCTTTTAGTTCTGGGAGGGGGCTGAAGGTATGTGGCGGTATGCATTTCTTCCAGCATGATATAGGGTTTTTAGAGATCATGTATTAAGCATTAGGCCTAATTGGTACAGTGTAGCACCATGCGGACAGAAAAGCTCGGGCTGAAATTATATTTATATGTACTGCGTGGAAGTGTATTTGGGCTAACTAATTTCTCTGCAGGGCTGCTTTTGGTCAGAATTGAGCACTTCTGATGCAGTGATCTGGGTACCAGCTTGAGACTTCACCTGTTTGGTGGAAGCCTTGAGCTCTCCTATGGGATCCGGCTGGGGTGCAATGGCACCTCCAGCAAGTTTAGCAAGAGGACACGCATGCCTGAGAGCAGAAGTTTTAGTCGATATTTGATGCTGGTTAAATCCGTGGGAACGTTCTGCTCCTTCTTGAAGTGTAGTTAAACTTTTTTTGCTTTTGAATCAACACCTCCTTACGCTGCAGACTCGCTGCCTCTGTATATTCAGCCTATCTGCCGATGCCAGTGACATAAAGAAGTTGTGGCTACCCCTGAGCGCCTGTGCAGCTGAGCCTGAGTGCACCGGGCTGTACTCTGTCTTGGACATCATCAACGGGAGAGCTTATTAAGTTTGGCCTTGTAATTGAATAAGTTACACTGTGCAAGTCCCTTAAGGGTTGTTTGACAGAAGATTTCTCTCCTGGTGATGATGAGCAAGAAGAAAATAATCCATGGTGACTTCCAGAAATGGTGAAAAGTAGAGAAAACAGATGCTAAGACCCAGCAGTACTGGGTCTTTCTGGGGTAGACCTCTGCCTTTAGGGCTTGTACAGCACTGGGGAAGCTGGAGGAGTTGACATGGTGCATTTGTTGAAAGAAGGCTGACAGATGATCCATTAAATAATGAGATCATATTCTTAACCCATGATACGTGTTTTCGCTCTCCTGAGACTGATAATCCACCTTCCCCCTCCCTTGTCCCATCCTCTCCATGGTTTTGGTATTTTGTCTGTGTGGGTTTTATTCTTCTAGATTTGCTACGCTTAATAAAATCAATGTAATACTGTCTTTGCAATCTACTTTATTTTCTTATTCCTGAACTGTAATGTGGTGGTATGAAATTGTAGTGTTCTGCACAGATTGTCTCCACAAACATGCAAAGTCGTCTTAATTTTTGTTTCAGTTCCTTACATAAGTTTTAATTTATATCGTTTTACCCATGTTACCTAAGATTTGTTATTTTTTTGCCTTTCTTTTCTGAACTCATTTTTCTTTCCCCATTTTTGTTTCCTCCATCCAGTATCTGCAGATGAAATGGCCACTGCTTGATGTTCAGGCAGGGAGCCTTCAGAGTAGACAAGCCCTCAAGGATGCTAGGTCTCCATCTCCAGCACACATTGTTGTAAGTAAACGCAGAAAGATGTTCTACCTTTGTTTAAAAAAAAAGAAAGAAAAAAAAAAGACAAAAAAGGCATTTGACATTAATGGCATTGGTTGTCATCAGTTTTCTTTTACACAAACCAAAAGAGAAATACTTCAAAACAAACAAAAACCTTAATGATCCCATGGTAAAAGGAGGGAATACATTTGCTATTGCTGGGCTGTTTATGAAATTATCATTCATGTGCCTTGTAGGAGAGCAGAGAGTTGAAAATGCTCTAAATTTACACACTGCAGAATTATTTAGTAGCAGTGAAGTCCAGTCAGGCTGGTTTACACATCTGACAATGTTGAACTGAAGAGAATGAAGAGACACTTTTGGAGAGCATTAAAAAAATAAAAACCAAGCCTGTACTATGACCTTTACTAAAAAAATCTTTTCTTACTGCAAAATCTTGAATGAAATTTTACCTGGGTGAAAGCTCAACAGAGCACATGTCCCTTTGTGTTGTGATGACTTCTCATTTAGCATGAAAAGTGTTAGCAAATGTTTACTACTTACCTGCAAAATATAAAAATCTCTTTATAATAAGTAGTGTTGCTAAAAATGGCTTTTTTTTAAATTAACTTTTCAGTTCTCGGTTAAGTTTTCTTGCTTCTATTGTTAAAACAATGTTGAGTTTGAAATGTTCAATACAAATTTGCATGAGAGGGGTTTGGGGTTTTATTTTACTTTCTAAAATAGCATCCATAGAGGTCTAAAAGGAAACTGTTTGTTTATATGGTGTTATGCAAGAGGGGTGGTATGCACTGGCCCATCCTCACCCATAGCCAGTGTCAGTGCCAACTAATGTTAAAGAGCATCTTAGCTCTGAGCGTTCATCTGGGAAATTTACCTCTGGAGAAGATGGCATGCAGTAGGTTAGAATATTTCTTCTGAAATACTTTATCATCAAGTTTTACATGATTTTTTTTTTTTTAAACTTTCTTATAACCAATGGATGACAAGGTGAATCCCAGGAAAAGAAACGTTGCTTGTTCTTTGTCTTCTGTTACACAGTCTAAAGCTGACGTAGCTGGTAGATCATCCAAGGCGCACATTTGTTTTGCTAGAAATCTAAAATCATACTAAACGTTTTTGAGGAGCTTCTTATTCTCTTGTTGTCTCTTTAACTTGAGAAATTTCAGCCCTTTGCTATGTCTTAGTTTTTTTATTTAAAAAGAAAAAAGGTTTCTTATCTTTTACAGTCCGTAGCTTCTAAACCATCCCTCAGTACAGCAGAGAGTGATGGGCACAGGACTGGTATTTGCTTAGTCGATACCTAGCGCTGGTTGCTTCACTTTTTCAGATGACTTTGCTTTTCCTTCCTGTCCACTTGGGCTGCCACTGGAGGAAGAGATCAGAGGAAAAGTGTTTGGCTGGTTATTTAGAAATCTACAGCCATCAAATCCTGCCGTCATCTTATTCTTCATAAGAAATGAACCAGAGTAACTTCCTTATTTTAATTCTGATTTTACTGCCGTGCTGGAGGACCGGCACGGGGGATGGGAGTGTTCCTGGGGCTCTGGGGCCGGCACGGCAGAGCAGTGTCAGTCTTGTGGGAGGTGATAGCAAGGGAGCAGGAGGTTTCTCCTGGCTGGTTGCAGCCTGGGAGGGCAGGCTGACATTCATGGGTAGCTTTGCTGGGGATCACCTGTGCTTAGCAGTGCTGAGTATCTGCTGTCCCCAAAGCCTCCTGCCACGTAGGAGAGCGGGTGCTTGCCTTTAAAGGCCAGCTGGGGGGCTGGTTGGGATCCTGGGTCCCCCAGCCCTCTCCAGCCCCTCCACCCAGGTGTGGGTGAGGTGGAGGCGAGTGGACAACACACACAGACACACACACACACACACAAAAGGGATCAAAAATCATGATCATTTTGGAAAATAAAGAGAAACCTGTTTCCAGGGAGGCTGAGGTTGATCTGCCTTCTATTTTGACCATTTATGGGGTTCTTATGGGTCTCTTTAAAAGCTGTTTCACTCTGCTATTCAATAAAAAGCATATTTACCATAGCAACCACTTAGGCTGTGAGGAACATATACTACCTCCGAGATGGAGGCCACCTTCCAAAAGAGCCACAGCTGGCATTTGTAATGTGATCTTTTGTGCTACTTACAATGTTGGAGGGAGAGAAGGAGGAGGGAGTGAGGGGGGGAAGCAGTGGGGTTTTTGGGAGGGGGGTGGTTCTGCAAGGTTTAATGTTTATTTCTAGCAGCGAACTGTTTTGCCTTGTTCTGTTAAAATAAATAAATAAGGGGCAGCTTTTCCCACCCTTTTTCCTGGCATCCGCCCCAGGCCACATTCATTCTATGGAGTAAAATTGGTCTTATTTTTGGTAAATAAAGTTAGAGCGGGTAACGGCATTCAGGGGAGATGAAGTGGCTGCAGATGCCGGTTGGCCTGGGATGTGTCAGGCTTATCTGGTGTCCCCGTTCGTCACTGCTGTGCCTGCACCTGGGACCTGGCTGCTCTTGCAGCAGGCTCTACACCCATTTCTGCATACGTGAAAACGCGATTAATCTTTTTATGGAACAATGAGGGGTGTTTCATGGACATGCTGACGTTTCTGTGCAAGTGTAATGTATAGGGATAGACACTGATTCTCCACACACATTGCTGTGTCTTGTCTACCCGCCAAGTGTACCTATGCCAGTTTTTCATCTTGAAATCAGTCGTGCTGCCCTGAAGATCTGTCTGAAAATGCTAACACCTGCAAATAATTTCTTATCTTTGTCCTATCTCTGAAATCAGGATTTGAGGCTAATCTTTATAGCTGGGTTACAAAGAGAGGAGCATGTGGGGGTTGTTTTTTACCCCCCCTTCTTCTTTTTTTTTTCCCCTTTTTTTTCTTTTTTCTTTTCTCTTCCCCCCCCCTTTTTTTTTTTCTTTTTTTTTTTTTTCCCCTTTTTTTTCTTTTTTCTTTTCTCTTCCCCCCTCCTTGTTCCTTTCCTTTTTCTTTCCTTTTTCTTTTTTAATGTTCTTGCTTCTCAGTGCTTGGCTGTGACTACCATGAGTTCTGTGTCAGGGCTGCAGCCTTTAAGTCCAGCTCTGATGAAACTCCCCTTGGCTTCAGTGTGAGTTTTTAGCTTAATGACTGAAGGCTGCAGAACATGGCCGTCTCTAATGTCTTAAGTAAAGTCTGTACTATTTGTCAGCCATCCTCCTTTCAGATTTGTTTAGGAACATTAAGACAAGACTACAAAAATCGAAGCAAAAGACCAGCATGAATAATTTGGCTGGATTGCCCCCAGTGCTGAGGGCTGGGTTAATACTGCTTTTCATGGTGCTTGAGAGAGTCTCCAAGGCCCATAATGAGAAATAGAATATTAAACTGAAATTATGTTCAGCATGTCTTGAGGAAGGTACAGCATGAGGCTCCATTTAAGACCAATGCATTTATTTGCATTTAGGTGCTTCACTCGTCTTGTAAGACTCTTGCGTCTTGCTCTGGCACAGTCATGCTGCTTATCTGCGTCCAAAGGTGAAAGAAAACTGGGGGAAAAATCGTTTTAATAGTACGCTATTAAGCTTGCTAGGTCAAAATTTTGAATTCAGCCTGTGGATAGTACTATTATGAGGCTGGGATTTTTTAAAGGATTTTTATGGTTATTTCCCTCTTTTTTCCTGACCTTTGATTTCATTGAAGGTATTAAGACTTTGTAAAACAGTTCTAGCAGGAAGTTTTTGGGTGCAAAGCAGACCCCAGCTGGGTGCCTTAGATGCTCCTCTAAGCGAGTAGGATGGTAGTTGTCCTGAAATCCCATGTTCAACAGGCACCTGGGGTCTGCTCCACGCATGGGCCGCCAGCATGGTGGTAAGGATAAGATCTGGGTGCCCTAGGTGTGGGATTCTCACATGAAAATTTTCTGTTGCGGTGGACAGGCAAGTGAAAATGAGCATGGTATGTCTGCACAAGGATCTCCAAAATCTACTCACTGCAGAAAGCAAGCTCCTTTAAAACCTTTTTTATCTATGCATGCATTCCTACAACCTTAAGGAGAAAAACAGTGCTGTTCTTCCCTGTTCTCTGCAACGTAAATACTCTGACTCAGCCATACCCTGTTTTGGGCAGGAGTATGGGTGAAAGACTGGTCCCAGGTTCCTGCCTCCTGCTGTCTCGGCTGTACAGAAACTGGCTTTTAGCTTCCTTTGTACCAGGCAAAAACATTCAGAACCCAAAATGGTGGTGGTTTGATACAGTATATTTCTTACAAAACAGTTAAAGGTTTAAAAAATTCCTGCATTTTCTTCTGCAGGGAGGCCTTTTGAAGTAAATGTAAATGTTACCTTGGGGGAGGACTTCTAGTACTATTTGGCCTGGGTTTTCTAATATGTAATGAACACAGCTATAAAGTAGACTGAATCCCCAAGAACAAAGAATCACTGTGCAGTAGTGTATCTGATCTCCCCCCCCCTTTTTTTTTTGCTTAAGGAGGTAAAAATGTGTTTTCAAAACATAATATGACAAGCAAAACTGAAGGCAAAACCATCTGAAATGTATTGTCTGTTCTCAGCCTCTTGGATGTGCGTGGACAGCGGGTGTCTGGGACCGCTGGGTGGTTTGGAGGGATCAGGAGTTGTTTCCCAGAGTGGTTAGAGTTGAAGCTGTGCAGCCTGCCCTGCCTGGTCCGTAATTTCTTTGTCTTGTGTGGTTTCACTTACGTACTTTGAAAGAAAAGACAAATACCTACAAGTAATCATGAGGCTTATCTTAGCTAGATTGTAAAATTCATCTACAGTGTCCCTTCAAACAGGCCAGAAGTGGGGTGCATCTAGACATATGTGCGGTCCTTTATGTATGGAGCCATCTGGAAGTATGATCTTGCAACTTCCACTCGCAGTGCCGCAAGAGGGCTTTTAAAGTTCTTGCTTTGTGTCTTTAATATTTTGCTGTAGAGAGGTTGTTCTTCCTCTGCAGTAACCTCTTGAGATGTTCTTGGATTTCAGGCCGCGTGTGCCCATGATGGGACACCCTCTTCCCTGG